GCAAGGATCTTGTCCCAATAAAGGGAAAGCCTGGAGCTGCCTCAGGCCACTTCATGGAGCCTGAAGGTGCACCTCACAGTGGAAGGCAGAGCCACAGACAGAGAGAGACCCATTCCTGGGACATCATCAGAGCCCTGCACCAGCTGTGCCCGAAGCCAATCTGCTCCAGGACTGTGCCATTTAGGACCCAGTGAATGCCTTCCTGGGTGAAGTTCTGTGTCCCTTTCCAGTGCCCACATGCCCAATGAAACAGAGCCTGTGCCCCTTCCTTTACCTGTTTTGCAGATGGGCGACCCTCAGCCAGACAACCTGTGGCATCTGCCCAAATGTCGCGGCCACTAAGCTTCACAGGCTCAGGGTCCTTTGCTCACTGCTGACCAAATCAAAGGCCATATATTTTGGTAAAAGGGACTTATACAACGCCAGCTCTGAGGAGATGAAGGGACCTTTTTGCCTCGAAGCACCGTCTCCCCATGTGCCAATGGGCGAGGGTCTTTTATAGTGAGGAACCAGTCAGAGAGAGATGCTGCAAAGCTCCACACTTGCTTTAGCACCTTCAGCTCAGCCTCCTCTTCCTTGTGGAAAGGAAGCTCCTGGGCTGGTAGCACTGCATATTCTTTCGCTTCTTTTGGGCTGAAAAGAAGATTGGGTATTGGCTACGTGCCCAGCAAAAGGAAATTTGGAGTTCTTATCTGTAGAAAAAAAAAAGAATGTTTAAAATTCCATTTTGCAGTGCTGTTGACACAAGGTCACACAGCCAGCCCACGCACGTGCCAAACTGGTGTTTGTCCGGTGGCCTCATACAGGAAAGTTTTTATTTTCTTGTTAAAACAATCACAGAAATGTGGAGCAGAATATCACATTCATAGCTGGGTGTGGTGGCACATGCCTGTAATGCCAGCACTCAGGAGGCTGAGGCAGTAGGAGAACAATGAGTTCAAGACCAGTCTTGGACTACATAGTGAACTCAAAGCCAGCCTGAACTACATAGCAAGACACCATCTCCAAAAAGAGAGATATAGACAGATAGACAGACAGACAGAAAGAATTTAATAATTTAATAGTTCTTTTGTGTGTGGAATCAGGGTCTTACTATGTAGCCCAAGCTAGCCTTCAACTTAAGGTGATCCTCCTGACTCAGCTTCCCAAATGCTGGGATTGTAGGCTTGTGCCCTGCTCACAATGTGCTTTGCAATCAAACTTTCCTAGGTTTGAAAATCTTCATTCTGCCACTGAGAAGCTGTGTGATCTTGGGCAACTCACTTTACCTGTCTGAACCTCATAAGGGAAGCTCTTGCAGGGAGTGTTTTCTAAGGCCTAGGTTAGATAAAGACTGTGAAAGCACCTAGTGAATCTGGGGTGCCCTGTGTCACTTCACCTGCCTTTCTGGCTCCCATTTGTAAGAAACTGTGGTTTTGACCCCACGTGGAAGATGGAGTTAATGGAGAAAGACAAATCTCTGTTGTCTCGGAGGCAGATAATTTAATACATCAGAGCCATCCCAAGGAAGCCCTCTTCATCTTCCTTATCCCATTCCAGGTCTGCCAAATCCCAACCATGTAAATCTACTCTGCTCTTCTTCTAGGTAAGCATGGTCCTCACATCTTGCAAACCCCGCCAAGAATGTTGCAAAACAAAGTGAATACTCCCCCTGATACAGGAGGTGGGGCGCGGGAAAGCTGGCTGGGGAAGTAAGGGGGATCTGTCAATTACAAGACCTCAGAAGAGCACCAGATAACTCCCAGGACCCCCGTAGGTAGGAATTCTCACGGGCTCACACACCATGCAGAGCACATATAAGAACACAGAGGCCATCAGGAGCCGACTATCATGACCCTTCATGGCATCCCATTCTGCGTCAAAGCTATACTTTTACTTTGCCTTTATATTTTCTTTTCTTTGGTGCAAGTTTGCTCTGTGAAGCCAGATTTTCCCTCACCGCTTCACCCTGCAATTTTCCAATAAGCTTTGGCAGCGTTTTTGGTTTGTCTCATCCAACTCTTTGTTTGAGGCAAATGAAAACCTGAAATACATTTAACTGGCAAGCCATTTCTAAAGGAACGACCTGACAACGCCCCACAACCTTGTTCGGAAGAGGCGGCCCTGGGCCTAGAGACTTGCTTGTGTGACTCACCACCGGTCACACAGCAAGCCATGCCATGGCACAGAACGGGGTTCTTCATCCCAGCACTACCGACCTGTTAGTGAGACAATTCCGGTTGTCCTCTGTGTTGTCAGGCCTTTGCCAGCCTCTCTGCTCTCTACCTTCTAGAGGCTAATATCCCCCACCATCAGCCACAAACACCAAAACTGTCACTAGACAGGGTCAAATGTCACCTGGTACCTACACCACCTTACTGAGAATGCGCTGTGTGTTCGACACACCAGCTTAATCTTTGCTTTGGAAATGCCACCCAACCACCGACAACCAGTCACTTTCTTCCTCCCCAAAGATAAAACATAATCTCTTAAAAATGGAAACAACACGCACTTTGTCTGGTACAATAGTATAGTTATAATCCCAGCACTCTGGAAGGCTGAGGCAGGAAGATCACAAATTGGAGCTCAATCTAGGCAACTTAGCAAGAACCTGTATCAAAATTTTTTAAAAAAAGGTCTGGGGATGTAGCTCAGCAGTAGAGTGCTTACCTAGCATATGCAGGGCCCTGGGTTTACTGACAGCACCACAAAAACCGAGAGAGAGAGAGAGAGAGAGAGAGAGAGAGAGAGAGAGAGAGACCACATTTCCATATCTAATTTAACATGATTATGAGTGTATTTCCAGGATAACAGGTGGGAGAAAAATGGAAAAAATATTTGAACAGCAGTCCTTTCTTCCATAGACCTTTGAGAAAATCCCCATCTTGTGCGATCGTAGAATATCACCTGCTGATAAGCACAGCTAGAAAAGCAGGGCCTCAGCCACGGCCAGACTCACAGAAGTCCCACGGACACATCATGATCAGGACCCTGCTGCTGTCTGCATTGGTGGCTGGAGGTAAGCCCCGTCCCCCTCCGGCTGGGAATGGGACCTCCACACCCTTGTCCCCTTCCCGCACTCCCCTACATTCAGTGCTATAGTTACAAGAAGACCGAACTGGACCTTCAGCAAAGTGGGGTAAAGGGCGGGACTCTACGACCTCCGGGGTCCTTCCAGAACAACGGTTCCTATTTGGGGTTGGGTGTGCCGCACCTACGCTCTCCATTGCGCGGGTGGCTGCTTCCGGCACTCACCACCCTCCTCTCTTCACAGCTCTCAGCTGCGGGCTCTCCACCTACCAGCCCCATCAGAGCAGGGTGGTTGGAGGAGAAGATGCCAGGCCCAACAGCTGGCCCTGGCAGGTGAGCCAACCGCGCCGTCCTTCCTCACGCCCTCCTCTACCCCTTCCTCGTCACCCCTTTCGCCCTCCACCCTGGGGTCTGTTATGCGGTCAAAGATGAGGATGGGTGGAAACTCAAAGCACAGCAAGGCCATTTCTGTGCCTTCCGCCAACCATGGGGCCTGGGAAAAAGGGGCCTGCTCCAGTTTAGTTCAATAAGAAGCTGCCCCGCCTACTACCCAGATGCACATATTCACAACCATTCTTACTCTGCTAGCCAATCACGTGCTACCTAACTAATGTACCATTATTTTATGAACCATTCATCACCATTTATGTAAATGTTTTCTGCTTTAAGTAACCAATCAGTGCAGCTGATGCAGATTAACCCTCAATCATAGGGCAGTCAATGTTATCAATAGATACAAACACTTTCTTACCTTGATATAACCACAGGGATATCAAGACTAAATATTGGGTGAGGCCCAGGTGCAAATTAGTACAATGTTACTGATTAAATTGTCAAAGAAAATGTGTGAAATTTACAATTGACATAAATATAGTTAAAATTTTTCCTTAACTTGCATAATTGAGACTGAGCAATTCAAAAGTTGATTATAGAGAAATGGTTTTTAAATCATATATAGAGGTTTTTAATATTTTACTTTAATTAAGAACACATAAATATATATTCATTCACAGATCTTTTGAATTGCTGTGTAGTTCAGGCTGGCCTTGAACTCACTATGTAGCCCAAGCTGACCTCGACCACACAACAATCCTTCTTCCTCAGCCTCTCCAGTACTGCTGGGATTACAGGCATGAGTCACCAGGCTCGACTTGATCTTTTGAATCCTTAGTGGTCTTTCTCACATACACATCATCTGCATTTATTTAAAGGACCAGTAACTTTGAGACACTCATAGAGCAATCTTAGTAATTTTGTCACTTTCCCTTCAGTCTCCCCACTTTTTCACAGGCACCTATGTCAGTAGCAAAAGCCCAGAGCCAGGCTTTCACTTTTCCCACAGCTTCATAGCATGTTTTCTCTGGGTTGTGGAAGAAGGGCCAGAGCCCCTCTGCTACACGTTCCATCGCAGGGATCTTCTGCTGAGAACCAATCACTGTACCCTATGCTGCCTCCTTGACCGACCATAGCCTCACCTTTGGAACAAACTGCCACTGCTTGTACAACTGTCTCCTCACCTTGGGGGCCAGTGGCTGTCAGTCACGGAAGACTCTCCACACTTCGGGCCCTGTACCCCTAGGGAGACTTTTTTTTTTTTTTTGGCAGGTGGGCAACTCTAATGGAGTTAGACTCTTTTCTCCAAGAAATATTGTTTGTATGACCTGGAAAATTAAATTATCCTTTTCCATAAGTAATATTAGAAATATTGAATAGGCTGGACATAGTGTCTCATGCCTCAGCATACTGGGAGGCTGAGGCAGTAGGATCATAAGAACCTGGGAAATTTAGTGACTTAATGAGACCCTGTCTCCAAGTAAAAAAAAAAAAAAAGCTTCGGGGAGTAACTTAGTGGGAAGGCCCTGGTCCAACCCTTAGTATTACAAAATATAGGTAGGAGATAGAGTAGAGATAGACACAGAGATAGAGATCATACAGATAGAGAGAGATAGAGATAGAGACAGAGGATAGAGAATGATAGAGAACAATTTTTATGACATGGACCACAGTGCAGAGATGCACATAGCTGCCTTAGTTTACTCATCTGTAAAATACAGATAATGATGGTGCCTCATGGGACTGCTGTGATTATGAGATGAATTCAGGACAGTGTCTGGCAATGGTCAGCATTAGAAATTTAAGCTAGACACGGTGGTACCCATCTGTAATACAGCATTTGTCATCGTTGGCTACTGCCTGAGATATGGCCAAAATCCTACTGATAAGAAACCTTTGAAAAAGATTGGTTAGGCATGTCAATAGTAAGTAGGCAAGTAGAAAGAGGAGAACAGGCACTACAGAAGGTAGAATCCAAGATAGAAGAGTGGACTTCCATAAATCCCATGAACTCTGCAGGGGGTTCCAGACGTTTGTTGTACTGTCTGGATTTTGGTGTCTATTTCCTGCAGAGCTACAGTTACATTACCGTGATTATCTGGGATAAAAGTACAACATGTTGTATGAAGCTCCTCTCAGCAGCTCCGTTAGTGTCAGCCCCAGGATGAGTCACAATCTTGCTTGACTGTGTGGCTTCCCATGGAAGTATGGCCAGTGACCCTCTTAGCACACCACACATTAGTTGACTCTGAGTTCCAACAATCTCCCTGCTCAGGAGGTTGGAGGACTTACCAAAGTTGTAGGATTCTATAGAAAAGGTCCTCTCATGTCCTAGGTCCTTGTTGATCTTGGAGGGCCAGAGCCAAAATATTGGCTGTCCTCTTAGCCCAGTTATGTTTTTAACTCTGATCATTAAACATCAGTTGTTGAATACCCAGAAGATTAGTTATCTCATCTTGAAATACATAGTATGACCAGGGAGCTGATATGTCTTTACCAGTCATGGTTGTCTTAGAAGTTGAGTCCCTGTAGAATGTTAACAGACAGAAATTATAAGGCTTCACTGACAAAACTCAAGATCACATTTAGCATTACAATCATGATGACATCACTAAATGACATGAAGAAACTATTTAAATTTCTCATCCTGCTATAGAGTGCCATGTAAGAAGAATGTATTTTATGACATTGCCTGGACCACAGTGTTTGGGCATCTCTAAGTGTTGTAATGCATGCATGCCATACACATCACAACGCTGGCTGTCTCATGCTGGATTATCACAAGTAATCACATCTTATCACAAGTAATGGGAAAACAAGTAAGGGAAAGTTCAATGCTTGAGCCTAATAATTTACTACTATAAACACTTTTAACCTGGAAATTGCCATTATGATGAGATGTTTTTCAGTTTTGCATCTTTGAAGACCTGTGCATTTGAAAAACATAAACTATGAAGTCAGCAGAATTGAGTGTCACAAACAAGACTGGAACTGTCTAAGGAGGCACCTATGTCCTGCTTCTTGTCACTGGCCAGTCTAGGTGTCCCTGTTAGCCATGCAAAAAAAAAAAAAAAAGCTCATGTCCAGGAATAATTTCAGAAATGAGAGTTAAAGCCTTTGTCAGAAATCATCAGTTAGATCAAAGAGGATAGTTGGGACCTGGGGAGGAGTGATGGAGGGATTTGAGAGTCTGACCCGTAGCACCTCCCCCATCTTTTTTGAGCAACAAGGAGGTTTTAGAAGGAACAGCCTGGGCTCCACCAAACTATATATTGCCAACTATATATTGCATCTTCCACAAACCTTTCCTGACATGCTTGACCCTTCCAGTTCTGCTGCTGTCGAGAGCAAAAGTGTATCATACCAAATCCTCTCACATCAAAAATATACCTCTATAAGTATATCTTTTTTTTATATTTTACCACTCTATCTTACTTACTTATGACCCTTTTCCATAATAAATTTGGCTGTGGCTGATTGGCCTTCATTTTATAATATAGAAAAGCTCAAATTGTTACTTTGTAAATTTGACTGGCTGGTAACTCTCTAAGCAACCTTGAATGGCAAATTATCTTAGTACCAGCGGAAAACAGAAAGAAGAACAAGTTAACTCTCTAATTGTAGTGTATGAATTTACAAAGCACAAGAAATGTTTTAAGCACACATATTAAACAAAAATACCCTCTCAAATTGGAAGGCAAATGTAAATTGATCAGTTGTTGTTTTCCTAGGCCTAAAACTTTTATTTCCCCTTTTTTAGGCAAGTCCCTGGGACTGACTTTCCAATTGTTAAAAATAAGTTTGTTTTTTTAAACTCAAATGCAAGAAGTTCGGGTATTCTGAAAACCTATGTGAAGGGGCTGGGGATTTAGCTCAGCAGCAAAAGCGCCTGCCTGGCAAGCACAAGGTTGTGAGTTCGGTTCCCGGTACCAGAGAAAAAAAAAAAAGAAAACCTATGTGAACTGCTTCCCATGGGGATATCTAAAACAGATGCAAAGAAAGAAAAAGATATTGTGCTCAAGCAAACCAGATCTTTGAGCCTCCTACTGATGGAGATTTCTTTTTTTTCCTGATTAATCTTTCCCAATTTGGCATAATTTACTGGTTTGACTTAGGTTGTGTTTATCCCTTTCTTTTTGCAAAAAGACCAATTGTCACATAGTATTGTAATTTAGAGTCCCCTTGTAGAGACTTAGCTACCGGTTGGGTAGGGCAATTTTTGAGAGAAAGGGAAAGAAAGAGAGACAGAAACAGACAGAGAGACAGAGAGAGACAGAGAGAGGGGCAGGCAAACGGAGAGTGAAAAAAGCCTGGGGATAAGGGACCTTCCATTACTTGCCACTTTCTCGCAGGTGGTTATCAAATCACAAAGAATTTGGAAATCAAACATGGCAAATTAAGGACATTGGCTGAATAAACTATTAGACGTTTAGGCCAAATATCCCTTTTAAACCAACCAGGAGGCAAAAGAATTTTTATAAGGCAACCCAAAGGGGTATGCCAAAATTTGAGAAATCTGTGAGTCCAGAGTAACTGATAAGAGAGTGGCCAGGTCTGGCATTGTGATACATGCCTATAATCCCAGCACTCAGGAAGCTGAGGCAGGAGGATCACCAAGAGCTCAAGGCCAGCCTGGTCTACCTAATGAGTTCAAGTCCCGCCTAAACTGCATAGTGAGACCCTGTTTCAAAAAAACAAAAAGAGAGAGATAAAAAGACAGCTAGAGTAGTCCCCTCCACTTCTCCCATAGAGCCATCCACTGTTGGAAAAAAGGAAAATAAGAAACAGAAGTGTGAGCTCACCAGGACAGGCTTATGGTAGAGCAAACCTGGGAGGGACCGCTCTGGCTGTAGCGATCAGACCAGCAGCATTGTATAGGCTGTGGGGTTCTCTGTAGGGTCCTGGAGGGTCAGTGAGAGAGGGTTGTGGCTTCCTGCCAAGAACAAGGCTTGAGAGAGCACAGAGGTCACGGCTGTCCAAGGACGAGGCTTGAAGAAGCGCAGGGAGCAGTGGCTCCTCTGCACAGCAGGGCTGACGTTGTGCTGATGCCCCAGTGCAGCTGTGCTGGGATAGGGCAGTTTACAAGGGTCTCTGATCAGGATGGTGGCAGTCGGGTTCCTTCAGTATTGCTTGGGGAGTTATCACAAGGAAAATAGTTCATTCATGTTTAGTATGATGCAGTGTCTTCCTTAATATTTTCATTCTGTGGTTGGTTGAATGGAGATCTGAAAGGCTGACTTTACCTGTTCAGTATCTGCGAGTGCCATGCAGCGAGTGATCCCATCTGGAACACAAAGATATGGAGAACTTCTCTGGGCTTGTATGATGGGGAGAGGGATAAGGAAGTGAGTGGGTGAGTTCGTCACCTCCAGGAGATGAAAGGTGTGACAAGAGAGAGTAAGCAGAATGAGAAGACGCTTGTGTGGCTCTGGGCATGAATATGTGTGTGCATCTACATGCCTGCCGGTCTGTGTGCTGTGTTTTCCAAAGAAGGCAGTCTAGTGACCTGAAGGGGCAGTGCCATCTGGGACCCTCGGCCCAGCTGTCTCAGCCACCAGGGTGCCCACATTCTCCCCAGGTCTCCCTGCAGTACCTCACATCAGGAAATTGGTTCCACACCTGCGGAGGGTCTCTGGTGAGCAACAGATGGTTCCTGACAGCCGCCCACTGCGTTAGGTAACTATCTCTCCCTGGCCCCAGGCCGCCCTCCCCGAGGCCACACTCACCTCTGACAGCCTGGCCTACAGGGCCTGTGCCCAGCCATGCACAGGAGCCTTGCAGAGCCACATCCCTGGCCAAGGCAGCGTTGGGCCACCTGTGACTCATCCTGTGGGTCACTGGGAGGCCGGGACAAGGTGGGGACTGGGTGCTAGGTGCCAGGCACTGAGGAAGTGGAGGAGGGGACAGCCCAGTCTCTGCCCTCTTAGGGAACCAAATGTGGCCTCTGCATCTGGAATCGTGTTCCTTTAATGACTTCAGTGACTTCTGCAAGCTTTAATATCATCACTTGCCAAAAATGGTATAACCAAGTTTAGTGTGAACTAAAGAAAATTATACATGAAAGGGCCTGGTACTTAGTAAGTGCTCAGCAAAAGTCCATTATAGCCAGGCATGATGGCACACTACTCTAATCCCAGCACTCAGGAGGCTGAGGCAGGAGGATCACCATGAGTTCAAGGCAAGTCCCTGCCACCAAAAATATATATATATATATATTATAATTTATATGCCAATTTTAAAAGCCCGAGAGAAACAAAATACGATGCCACTTGTTCACTGCCCTCTCCCATCCCTGTGACTCTGGCTTACCTCACATCAGCCAGGACTCACCTGTGTCCCTTAGGCTGGTGTGCCCCTTGCTGGGAGCAGCCTCTTCTCCCACTTCATGTAAACATTGGTGGGGAAGATAATAGAGGCCTGGGCATCAGGCACCCAGGCTCTCGTTCCAGGCTCTCACTGGGCTCAGTACCCCTCGCTGAGCCTCATCTGAAAATGAGAGGTGGAAATAAACTAGGGAATGCCCTAGAGGGCAGATGATTCCTGCTGTCTCTGTGTCCATCTCATTCCCTTCCTAGCAATGCAGTTTATGCGATTACAGCTTTGATGATACACTGTAGTTTAGAATGGGAGAGTTGTATCAGTGTGTAGTTATAGTTAGGGCGTTCTATCATTTACCGTGTATTAGAACTATTTGCCCCTGTAGAATAAAAACTCCAAGCCCCGGTAGTGGCCCCTGCTGCACTGGCTGACTCCGGACCCTGCTCTGGATTATGGGTGGGGCATCCTTTCCGGTGGCCCAAGGCAGGAGGGAGCTGACACCCTCTGCTTGGCCCCTGCCAGCAACTCCAGGACCTACCGCGTGGTGCTGGGCCGTCACAGCCTCTCCACCAATGAGCCAGGCTCTGCGGCCATCGCTGTCTCCAAGTTTGTGGTGCACTCACAATGGAACACCAACCTCGCCAACGGGTAATTCTGTGCGGGTGCACTTGGGGCTGGGGCGGGCAGGGGCACAGAGGGCGCTCATCCACTTGGAGGTGGAGCCAGCCCCAAAGCTGCCAGGCTGTGTTGGGGAGGGAGAGGCAGGGTCTGTGGGAGCAGCCTGCCGTGCTGCCCGTCAAGCCTGCAGGACGCTGCACCCAACGTCTCACTGACTGTGTGGGCCGCGCAGCCCTTGACAAGCCTTGGGCTTGGGATGCTGCCTTGGAGCCCCGGCTGTCCGTGGAGTAGAAGTCTCTCCTCACATTCCAACAAGGCCTGCTACATTTCCAACGATGCTCTGCTGCCTGCCTGCAAGGATAGCCAGACAGTGCTCCGGGAAGATGACAGGGGCCCCTCAGCTCCTCAAAGGGCGGGAAGAGTGGACCCTCCCCGCTCACCCTCTGCCTCTGTCCTGATGCAGGTACGACATCGCCTTGGGCAAACTGGCTGAGCCCGTCACCCTGAGCGACAAGATCAAGCTGGCCTGCCTGCCACCTGCCGGCACCGTCCTGCCCAACAACTACCCCTGCTATGTCACAGGCTGGGGCCGGCTGCAGAGTAAGTGCCAGCCGGGTGCCCTGAGCCCTGAGGGAGCGGGTGTCACTGCACATCACCATAGGATAAAGCCAATCATCCCTGGGAAGTGCTTAGTGCAGTAACAAAGGCGCACAGTAGCTTAGCACACGTGACTTCAGTATGACCCAAGGCCAGAGTCCACAACAGCCTTTACTCCGTGACCTCAGGTTTCTGGAGCCCCACCAACATCCCTGGAGCCACTACCAGACGCTCTCATCCCATATCCAAACCTGTGCCCTGTGCCACCTGGTCCTGCCACTGAGAACTGGGAACTGGGAATAGCTACTGGCTGAGTGGCTCTTCCCAGAAACCCAAGGATCAAAAATCCAACCACGTGAGGCCACCAAGGACAAACAGAGCACCTGCCCTTCCCTTGTGAAACCACTAGAGGTCGGAAAGGCTCTACAGATGTTCATTCCGAGGAGGTTAACGACATAAACCTACAAGTGACAAGGACGTACAAACACCCAGCAGAAGCCAAGAGGGTGGAGAAGGTATCTTATGCTTACGAAACACAGGCTAGACCATGTGTGTCTACTCAGAACACACCAGAGCAGGACCTACCTCACTGCAGACGTCCAGAGGCAGGGTGGGTCCGGAGGCTTGGCTTTTAGAGCCACCTCAGTTGGTCACTATGTATCCTCAGACAAGTCACTTGGGAACCTCAGATTCCTCACCTGTAGACTGGAAACTCTGTGGTGAAGATTGAAAAAAATGATATGTGTGAAAGTGCTTTACACAGTGCAAAATGTTGCCTGAGTGTTAATTGTGTACTAATTATGGTGTCTGACAGGAGACACTGAACTTCTCTTGTTCTCAACATCCCATCTCACAAGCAGGAATACATATGACTGTAAGGACAGACATGTTAGCGAAGCCTTGGAAAGTGCAAAAATAGTAATAATCCTTCCTGCTGCCATTAGTGTTAATGGTGACATGAATGGAGATAAGCGTGGCAGTAAACCCTCCACCGGGATTTCTTTTCTTGTGGGTTTTCTTCATGGAAGAAAATGGCTGCCACCTTCAGCCTTTCTCTTAGTATCTAGGTCTCCATCCCAATTTCCCAGGGAAGGAGCCCATTGGCTTAGCTTGAGTCAGGTGATCGCCCCTGAGCCAATCACCAGTGGCCATTACACTAACCAATCAAACATGAGCACACAGTGGGGACAAACACTCCTATTGCAACCCTTTGGCTGGAAGAAATTAACAAGGGCCAATCAGAAAACCTATAAGGTGGCCCAAATTTATTTTCATTTAGGAGACTCACTTGTCCCCCTAATGCCTTGCCTTCTGGTCTCACTCAGCCAATGGGAAAACCCCTGACATCCTGCAACAAGGACTTTTGCTGGTCGTGGACTATGACACATGCTCTAGCCGTAGCTGGTGGGGCAGCTCCGTGAAGACTAGAATGGTCTGCGCCGGGGGTGATGGTGTGATCTCCAGCTGCAATGTGAGTATGAAAATCAGGTGCTGCCTGTACAGTAAAATGAGACTGGAAATGGGAGCACCCCCAGGGATCCTAGTATTCATCCTCCTATCTCTTGATAGAAGCACTGAAAATAGTTCTGGATATTTCAGAACCTGCCCTTTGTCTTCGTAATGTCCAAAAGTAACGTTTTGAGATGCTCCTTATACTGCTCACCCTAGCTCACTGCTGGGAAGTCCTTCCTTGGATCTCATCAAGGTCTCATTACCAACATTCCTCCTTCGTGTGTAAGAGTGGACCAAGGAGCCAGGTGTGGTGGTGAACACCTATAATCCCAGCACTCAGGAGGCTGAGGCAGGAGAATTGTTGCAAGTTCAAGAACAGTTTGGGCTACAAAGTGAGCTCAAAGCCAGCCTGACACCGGGCGTGGTGGCACATGCCTGTAATCCCAGCACTTGGGAGGCTGAGGCAGGATGATCATTGGGAGTTCAAAACCAGCCTGAGCTACAAAGTGAGCTCAAGGCCAGCCTGAGCTGCATAGCGAGACCCTGTCTCAAAAAGACAAAAAAGAAGAGTGGGCCAAGGGGAAGTCTTTTCTGGGTCAGGGCCTTTCTTAGGTGACTTCCATTTATTTGTTGGACCCCTTTAATGACCCAAGGTGACCCCTCAAGGTAGCTGCTATAGAAGCCTGCCTGGAGACAGCGTCTTCACCAGAAGGAACTGTTTACATTTCAGGCCTCACAAGGAACCGGGGACAATTGGATGAGGCAAGAACCTTCAGATCAACTGTGCCCTGACAGTCCACCCACACAGGCCCAGGGCAGCACCTGGTCACAGGAAAAAGTAGCAGATGGTGGCCTTAGAGCTGTGACCACAGGGCTGGCTTCAGAGGACAGAGACATCTGTGACAGAACAGGAATACTTTGAGAGTAAGGGTTCCAGCGGGTGGCACCTTCGCAGCCCTTACCTCCCACTCGGCTTCCCTAGGGCGACTCTGGTGGGCCGCTGAACTGCCAGGCGGGTGACGGCACGTGGCAGGTGCACGGCGTGGTCAGCTTTGGGTCCAGCCTCGGCTGCAACTACTACCAAAAGCCGTCGGTCTTCACCCGGGTCTCTTCCTTCATAGACTGGATCAATGAGGTAAGAACCGGACCAACCCTGAGCCCCGTGGGGCCTGTGCTTCTCACTCGATCCCACGGGGGCCTCCCCCGCTGGGAGTCCAGAACCCTCTTCCTCCAGCGAGGCAGAGGAGGCTGCACACTTGAGCATCCCTGGTAACCACAACCGCAGGTCCCCTAATGGTTTGTATTTTTGTTCTTTTCTTTTCTTTTCTTTCTTTTCTTTCTTTTCTTTCTTTCTTTCTTTCTTTCTTTCTTTCTTTCTTTCTTTCTTTCTATCTTTCTTTCGTGTGTGTGGTACTGGGGATTGAACCCAGACCATTCTCACTAAGCTACATATCTAGTCATCTTTTATTTCAAGACAGAGTCTTACTAAGTTGACCATGCTGGCTTCAAACATGAAATCCTACTGCCCGAGCCCCCAGGCAGCTGGTGTAAGGGGCATCACCAGTATACCCCATCTGGAGACATAATTTTAACATCCTCCCGCACACACACATTGCCGCTACATCAGTTGCTCTGCTGTAAAATGAGACTTGGACTAAACCAGGCCGCCTCAGCAGGTGAGCACGGAGGTGTTGGTGACAGAGCCCACGAAGTAGAGGACGCTGGTGTGTGACTTCATCATTTTAGGTTTAATTTAAGATAACTATTACACTGAATTACATTGTCACCATTACAAAACCAAATGGGAAGCCACAGCTACGCCCTGTGGCCACTGGAGGAGAGCCACAGCTACGCCCTGTGGCCACCGGAGGAGAGCCACAGGGTGGGAGGAAGCAGGTGGCCTCCATTTATCCATTGTCCCCACCGGCTCCACGCTGACATGTCTGCCTGCCGGCTCTGATTGCCGACAAGTGGCCACAGGACCCAGAGGATCCAAAGAGTTTGTCTGAGAAAAGTGGAAAATCCAGAATGACTTAGGCCAGTGGTGGGGATTTTGTTGTTATTTGGTTTGTTTTCTCTTTTATTTTCCCTGGGAAAGGCCACGACTCATGGTTGGCAGAGGGAAATCTGAGCTCAGCCTTTGCTGAGCCACTAGCATCTCCAAGCAGCCTCGCTGACATGACAGAAAGATGCTTAAGGCTTCCTCCCAGCTGAATCTTGTGACCATTTTCCAGCCCGAGCTGCTGCGTGAGTCACCAAGCAGCTGGGCCTGGTACCACTTTCAGGACCAAAGCAGGGGCCAGGGCCAGGTGCCCTGATTTGTTGTCTGTCTCAGCTGTTCCCAGCCACAGAGCCAGGCATAAGCAAGCAGGCCAGATGGCAAGGGCATCAGCAGGAAGAGCAAACCTGGCTTGGCAGCTGGGCAGAGGCCCTGTGTTCCCCGGACTGCAGCCAGGGCAGCACAGATGCCCACTGTTGTGTGCCAGGAGTGGCAGAGGCAGCAAGCAGCTGTCCCTGGGGGAGGCTGCCCTCACAGCTGCAGAGGGGCTTGTGGAACCTTGCAGTGGTCCCAGTCCAGCCTCACACCATGTGCACCTTGGTCCCTCACAGCTGCGGCCCTGTGTGGGAGGGGGCCGGGAGCACCTGCCAGCATAATCCTAGACAGGTGGACAAGCCCAGGGTGCTGCCAGCAAAAGGCACAGCTGTGGGGACACAGGTGGAGGAGGGCTTTCATTGTTTCAACTCATGCCCATTGAATGGCAAACATGGGCCTTAGGCAGTATCTAGCTTATTTTAATAAATGGTAATGAGTTTCACTATAAAAATACTAAAGCACACGAGTGTGTCAAATAAAAAAGTGCAACTGCCCCTCACCTTCTCTCTGCAGTTCCTCCACAGGGAACATAGGTAACATCTCCATGTGTGCTCTTCTGGGGTTTATGTGCATCTAAAAAAGACCTTTATGTGCTCAGATATGCGTACTTTTTCCTTTATTTTTATTTATTTATTTTTGGTACAGCAGACTGAACCTGGGGCCTTTGCACTGAGCTACCTTCTAAACCTTGTTTGATTTTTTATTTTGAGACAGACTCATGCTAGGTCCCCTGGCAGGACCTGAACTTGTGTTTCCTCTGTCTCAGGCTCCAAGAGTGCTGGGATTACAGGCATGTGCCACCCTGCCTGTCAACGCATTCTGTCTCTAGCCAGAAAAGGTTTTGCTCCTCCCCTGCAACTTAGATCACATTTTTTTGTCAATACACAAATCTAGGTGATGCTTATAACTGGCTAAATACTGTTCCACAGTAGGAGCATATTGGGGGATGCTGTGTCTGTTTCCTATATGTCCTTCTTACCATGTTGCGCTAGACATCCTCGGACATTCTTGCACGCTGCCCTGCGGATCTGTACTCTACAGATCCGGCAGCTTCCCTGGCTCATGGAGATGGCAGAGCAGGATGTTTAGGGGCTGAGAAGGAGCTCAGTGGAACAGCATGTGCTTCCCATGGGAGAGGCCCTGGGTTTGATCCCCAGAACCAGAAAAAGAGTTTAATGGAAACTGTTCGACAGCTTCTGAAAGCAGGTTACATTGCCTGCCCAGTGTGGAGGCCCACACCTGTAATCCCAGCACTCTGGGAGGCTGAGGCAGAAGCATTAGAAGTAGGAGCCCAGCCTGGGGCAAATTAGTGGCTTAGCAAGACCCTGTCTCAAGATAAAAGATAAAAATGGGCTGGTAATAAAGCTCACTGCAAAAAGCTCCGGGTTCAATACACAGTACCACATCTGTTTTAAAAGGCAGGTTACAGCACCTCCCATAGCAACCATCTATGCCCCCAAAATAGTTTTCTTTGAGAAACAAACAAAATCTAAGACCATGTCTACCCATACAGATCTCCCTGTCACTTGTAGGGGTTCCCAGGGACCCTGACCTGAAATCCAAAGAGAACAGCAGGTAAAGACCGCTCTTCACAAGAGGAGCCAGCTGGCAAGGGAAAGCTGTGACCTCATCTTCTCCCACACACTCAGAGCCCACAGGCAGGAGCTCCTACACCAGGACCCCTGCGGATCCCACAGTGACCAAGTCAGGAAAGCGCCGGGGCAGCTCTGCTCTCGGCTAACCTGCCTGTTTCCCGTGTGTCCCCAGGTGATCGCCAAGAACTGACCGAGGGAGTCTCTGGGACACTCAGACCCAGGAAAGTGGCAGCAGGAAAATAACAATAAAGTGACAACTGCATGGATCTCACCGTGGTCAGAGTCTTATTAGCAAATGTCTTTCCCAACTTCAGGTCCTGAGAACAGGAAAGTGGCCTCAGGGATGGCTGCTCTGTGCAAGCCCAGCATTTCCCTGCTGCACTCTGGAGGCAGATGTGCCTGGGCACAGGTAGTGCAGGGAGACGGGGATTGGGATAGGGACCTGGCTCTGGCCAGTTGGCTGCACCGGGCGCGGTGCTCCACTGGAGAAGAATCTCACCCTCTCCGGGCTTGTGGACTCTACTTGTCACTACCGGGGATGGGGTAGAGATCAAGTGAAATTAGCCACGGGAAATATAGTTTTTGTGTTGTTTATTTCATTTTGTGAGGTGGTTCTGGGGACTGAACCCAGGGCCTCACACATGACAGCAAGTGCTCTACCACCGAGCTACGCTCCAGACAGTGATCGCGAGCCTTTCAGAGATAAGTGCCCGACGGTGACCCAAAACCCACTCATTTATCACCAAGTGCGAACACTGCAGTTCAGTGTGAATATTGAAGTTTGAGTTTAGGAAAGACAACTCATACAGGAACATTTTTTTCTCTTAAAAGAAGAACACACATATAGGTTTGCCATTACTCCCATAGCCATTTTAACAATTATTTCATTTTCTTCTGAGATACCAGACTCTGGGGAGATGATTTGAAAGCAGCAGAGGTCTACTTTATGAGCGACAGCAAGGAGCTGGAGCGCTGTGAGGAGGGACAGAGACAAAAAGAATCGATATTCACCCAAGACTTATTTTTAAGACTAAAGAATGTAATAAAATAATAACCACTGCTGACACTTCAATTCGAATTCCAGACCCAGCTGTTTAACTCTAGTAGCTGAAGCTGGTGGCCTGAAAGGCACTGGGTCTGTGGCCCTAGATCCCTGCAGACCCTCGCTCCTCCAGTGGGGACAGTTCTGTCACCCAGAGCACAGGTGGTGACCTCTGATGATGGCCGAGGTCAGCGCAGTCCAGGGAGGGCTTCTACTGGCATTGGTGGCTGGAGAAGGAGACAGCTAGGCCCGCAGTCCTTTAGGGGGCGTCTCACACATAATGAGGAGACCTAACGTCATTCTGGCCAGAGAAAGGCCTTTGCAGTAAACATGGTGTCCTCCACAGGCAGCAGGAATCCATGGTGCCCTCGCAAACACAGCTGAAGGGCGTGAAGAAATTGAGGGTGGGACCCGCAGTCTCCCTGATGCCAGAGACTCAGCTTCATATACACAACTGGGCTCATTCTCCTTGGAGCTTTGATCTCCAATAGGCCATCCAGAGTCTTGAGAATACGACCCCCAACTCAAACCCTATATATATATATTTTGTTTGTTTGTTTGTTTTTCTCCGGTACCGGGAACCGAACTCACG